GTGTTATTCTGCACTGGGTAACCAGCGTCTTTCCTTTCTGTTCTCAGTGTCCAAACATGGCTGCTGCCGCCTGTCTGCTGACTGAAGATCAGTTTCTGTGCGCCATCTGTCTGGATGTGTTCACCGATCCGGTCAGCACGCCGTGTGGACACAACTTCTGCAAAAACTGCATCAATGAACCCGCTGACGCCGACGTCCCGTTCCAGTGTCCCCTCTGCATGAAGATGTTCTACCCAAAGCCCGAGCTGCAGGTCAACACTCTGATCTCTGAGATGGTCGAGGCCTTCAGACGCTCAGAGCAACGGCCAGGTAGACGGGTGGAGGTTCTCCATGGGGAAGGCTTAAAACCACTGGCGCTGCTTCTCTGTGTGGTGTTTCTTTCATTACTTTGGGACTGCATGAAATTCAATCATCTTCTGGAGGAAATGAGTAAAGGAGAGAAACTGGTGAAGATGGAGGCTGAACTCCAGCAGACGATCGAGGAGATGCGACTGAAGATTGAGGAGCTCAAACGCTCAGTGGAGCTCGGTAAAGAGGACGCAGACAGAGAGATGGCAGATGGTGTTCAGGTCTTTGCTGCTCTGAAGGAGTATGTCGAGAAGCTCACGGAGGCCATCGGAGAGAAGCAGAGACAAACCGAGCTGCAGGCTGAAGGCTTCATCAGAAAGATGGAGCAGGACATCCGTGAGCTGAAGAAGAGGAAGACGGAGGTGGAGCTGCTCTCTGTGCTTCAGCTGGAGGAGCCGCTCTCTGAGGAGATGAAGGAGAAAGTACCCAAGATGCTCGCCAGGTTCGAGCTGAGGCGGGTCCAGAGCTACGCAGTGGACGTGACGTTTGATCCAGACACAGCAAATCCTTACCTCGTCCTGTCTGATGATGGGAAACAAGTTCACGATAGCGATGTGAGGCAGAAGCTTCCAGACAACCCAGAGAGGTTTTCTTACTGCATCAATGTTTTAGGAGAGCAGAGTTTCTCTTCAGGCAGATTTTACTTTGAGGTTCAGGTTAAAGGAAAGACCGAGTGGACTGTGGGAGTGGCCACAGAGGCGACCAATAGGAAGGCTCAAATCACACTGAGTCCTCGGGACGGTTTCTGGACTGTGAGGCTGAGAGGCGGATACGAGTACAAAGCTAAGGCTGACCCTGATGTCGCTCTCTCTCGCCGGTCTGGTCCTGAGAAGGTGGGGGTGTTTGTGGACTACGACGAGGGTCTGGTCTCCTTTTATGACGTAGATACTGCAGCTCTGATCTACTCCTTTACTGGCTGCTCCTTCACTCAGAAGCTCCACCCATTCTTCAGTCCTGGTCTGAATGATGATGGTAGAAACTCTGCACCGCTAATCATCACCCCCATTGATTAGACCGGCCCCACAGCACCAGAGTAATGAGGTCAGGGGTTATGAAGGAAGGAAGGCTCAGGGTTGAGTAACCAGCATCATGGGCTCATCCGATTAGAAGAATAAGCAGTCATCGAATCATTCACAGGCTTCTCCTTTTATTCTCAAATCAATAAAGCAAAGAAGGAAAGACACACATGGACCACCAATGCTGAAAGAAAACAGATTTAAGTTACTCATTACCTTAAACAATACATAAAATAAAAACCCAAACAGAACCTCACCTCTGCTGCCGCCCCGTGTGGGAGTGAAGAAAGAAATGCAGTCCTTATATGTGTGACAGGTGAGTGCAATTAAGGACCAGCACCACACCCAATCAAAGGTGAGAGAACTAAACAAGGTGCATC